ATGTTGCAGGCTATTGCTTCAAAGTGTTAATGCACCTTTGAAAAAGTTACTACAACAGTGACCTGAGTCATTTATACCTGAGTGGCTATTTGAGTAAAATGCTGCTTTCCTTACTGACCCAGTGCCAAGAGAGTGTCCCCAGATGATGACCAGGCTGTTTCCACTGCGTGCTTTGACCCAGTTGTACAAGTAGAGGGCATCAGTGGTCAAACCGGCCTCAGTCGGCTCGCCGGTAGAATCTCCAAACCCTGCCAGATTCTCACATCAGCATCTGGCAGATCACAGAGCTGCTCTTCACTGCCACAAGGTGGCAGTCACTCAGAGGAAAACCTGGACTAGACACTGACCCCAGGTTGAACTTCTGTCTTTTGACTGCCTTACAACAAACTCATCAGGCACAACTGCACTGATCTACAGTGGTCATATGGTTGCAAATGATATTAAGTCAATGTGAGAAGGTTGTGCAGAACAATCAGTACAAAGGCAAAGAAGCACAGAGACAGAAAATACTAGAGGAAGAGTGATAAACCTTCATTTGCACCAACCTCTGTAGTCAGGCAGCAACACGTGGTAACCCAGTGCACTCAATATCTGTTGACACATAGTGCCTATCTGTCATCAGAATGCCTACTGAGACTTTCACATCTTTATTAGATCACCAAAAGATTCATATGTTTGTGTTGGTGATTACTCACCTTTGTCACTCCCACCCGATGAGGGGCCGCCCTGTTGGAACAATTCACAGGTAACACAAGTGCCAATATAGAAGTGTTTTCTGAGCAAAATAAGAACAAATAGCTCTCTGTTTTTTGAGGAGACAGCTATAATTCTTTATCATACCTTGTACCTGTGTTCCCATGAAAATATATGAAAACTGGATTTCCATCGCTTAAAGTGTTCTGGTACCATGCCAAGTCCTTCCCTTGAGCCTCCTTCCACTGACTGTCAGGGACAGTGTGCCTTAAACAGTTCAAAACAATGAAACCGTGAAGAGACACAACTGATAACTGGAGCATCAAAAAACAGGCA